TACCTAGATCTTCCATCCTCTAGATTTCTTGTTTGATCTTGACCTTGAGAGCGACAGGAACTTTCCGTGGTGGATGAATTACAGGTTTGAAGCTTTCATCCAGTTTGATTGTGTGTTCTCCGGGTAGAAATCAGATACTGTGGAACAAATCTGGGTGAGCTGCTAGAATGTCTTCTCGTATCACTGTATCTTTGTCTTGAATGTGATATACTCGCTTGACCAGTCCCATTTCTTGACAAGACTTGGCTTCGATAATGAAAGGGTAATCTCCATCCACAATGTGAAACTTTTCATTATGGGTTTCACCTTTATAGTCAACTGGTAAAGTCCTGGACCCTACTGACGCTATCATGTGACCTGAATATGACTTGAGACGGACTGTTGGCTTCTCTATTTTGTTGATTGTTCTGTTCGAAATCAAGTTGCACCTTGCTCCTGTGTCTAACTGCAATGTCACTTTTCTGCCATTTATGTTTAAGTTCTCATACCAATCATTATTTTCTGCATGTTCATTTGTTTTGTTTACCATTCCTATGTAGACTGTTTCATCTTCAGTTTCAGATTCATCACTTGACAGCTCTTCAACATGATGAACTTTCTTACTTGATCATCTGTGGAGCTTGATACTGCTTACTTTACTGTATTTGCACACAGATGCAAAATGTCCAATTTTTCTGCAAACTTTACATTGTTGACCTTCAGCTGGACAAAAATTACAGTGTTAGAAATTGGCACTAGTCCTGTTGTCCTTGCCAAACTGCCCAATGGTAAAGGTATCATAAGGACTACCGCGCGTAATAACCGAAGTAGCGCTTTATCGATGAGCGCAATAGCGAGCGATCACTGTAGTAGAAATGTGCCCTTTTTAAGGGTTTTGCCATATGTTATCATCATAAGGACTAGTGGACGAAAACTGTTAGTTTCTAACCCTGAATTATCTCTGAAATGTTCATAACCACTTTTATTGGATTCTCTATCAACTTTTCTGTGTGTTGATTTACTATTGTAACCAGTTTTTCTTCTTTCTTCATATTCTGACTTTTGTGTCTACTGTTGTTTATGAACTGCATGCACCTTGCTATCTTCTTCAGGTCACATGGCCTTTAACTGCTCTTGTGACATTTCGTGTGTCTACACAATGTCTGTGGCTTTATTTAACGATAAATTAGATCCCTCATTTATCAGCTTTTCACGCAGTTTAGAGGAATTAACACCAAAAACAATTCTGTCTCTGATCATTTCATCCATATGATCTCCATAGCCACAGTCAGTTGCAAGCATTTTCAGTTCTGTTATAAACTGTGAGAAACTTGTATCTTGAAAATACTCTGTTGGATTTAGGCTTCACAAAACTCTCAAACCGATCATAGTAGTTTTTAAGCACCTTACGGTCATCTTCATTCATATTCCAAGTTTCGAATACGCTTCTGCCCTTATCTCCAACCCATAATATCAAGAAATTACATCTTTCTGCTTCTTATATGCCTTTTAGAGGGTCTCCAAACATGAAATCACAATGCGTTTTTAACTGTTTCCATGTTGTCAGCAAATCTCCACTGTCTCAGTTCATAACTGGGTTTGATCCAGCCATACTAGACATTTTGATCAAATTTTCCCACTTCTGACACCATGTAATGTCTTGTCATGAGGACACATGGCTGGCACTTGTAAAACTCTTTATTCAGAGTGGTCTCCCCTTACATGTATTATGCTTGTAGGGAGGGATATGGGGCTAACATGGATATTTTAGGAGTGCTTCACAACATATATTACAGCTATATTTAGTAAACAAATATTTAAAACTCTCAACATCGCGGTGCATATTTAATGACATTGCGTATAGAGATGATAGATGACTGGGGGGGGGGGGGGGGGGGGGGGGGGGAGCTTATGCACACTCGATGACCCCTGACGTCACAGCTAGGGCATTGTTTCGCCTGTGTTAAACGGCAACAAAATACTACAAATTACGTCATAAAGTATTGTCACCTGTTTGAAACATTTGTGGTTCTGTATTCTTAAGGCACGCCCGAAAGTTGTTATGTACTTGCATTTAAATATATATTTCCGCTCGGTCAGATATCATACCATAGAAAGTACACTCGTCAAAAATGGTATCTAACGAGAATGAGTGTGGTCAGAGACCATATACCGATCATATTTTATCATATTACATGCACAAACCTGTGTCCAATGCAAAAATGTAAGTGAAATCTTCTTGCAGCAATTAATTACTGAAATAAGTGTACCATAAGATGTAGCACAATGAAGAGTTATCAACATGATGAAATAACGGAATTGCAATTACTGATGTATTTTAATTGCCTTTTTTGACACAGTACCAAAACATACTACTACCATATCTCCTGAACCATACAACTTAGCTTCTCAAAAGTTTTAAGACCTATCAAGCAGGTTATGTAGTGGTGCCTTTGCTTTTAAAGGATTTTTTTTTTCAATTTAAATTGAAAATTGATGGAGCATATCTTCTAAACCATGCGACAGAGATGCACCAAACTTTATGCACATATCAATCATGTTCAATAGTAGTGTAGTTTGTTATTTATAGATTTTAATCTTTTGAATTTGTAGCCCGACATATAATTCTAAGGTGTACTATTTACTGATATCATATACTATATATATGATGTGAGCTACATAACCTAGTACATTCTCTTTATGCCTTTGTGACATGAAGCTACTACAGAGCTATTCATATGCGAATCTGCGAAGTGATTGTTATTACAATTTCATGAGATCATCAGAAAGTGAGCTACATGAACCAATATTTAATAACCTTCATTATATTTCTGGTTTTGGCATCAATGAAAAGTGTACCAAGTTTTGTGAAGCTAGGTTGTACGGTGTAGGAATAATGCTCCGGACAAGAGCAGTACCCTCAAATTTCCTAAGTTCATCATATTTCCATGGAAACGACAAAAATATAAAATTCTAAAAATCTCTAAATAGCAAAAGGCACTACTACTGAGCCTGATCGGTAAGTGTACCAAGTTTTGTGAAGCTAGGTTGTACGGTTTAGGAAATATGCTCCGGACAAACAATGACTACAGACGAACAGACGGACGGACGGACATACAGACATACTGATGGCTATACCCTCGTCATTATATGTCGGGGGGGTAATAACGGAATTGCAATTACTGATGTATTTTGATTGTCGTTTTTGACACAGTACCAAAACATACTACGAAACAAATTACACAGCTACTGAGAAAAATCACAGATCGTTTAATACTGCCCAGTAAGTAAGGACTTTAATTACATTTCACTTGACTAATATGCACTCGGAAAATGACCATTTTCCAGATTTCGAGGGAGCCGCCATTTCTATGTGTACAATGAAGAGCATCGGGACAGTGCGTGATTCAATTTCCCTTAGAAGATATTATCAGCAACATAAAGTTTGACAGATCACTCATATATAATATTGCACGTGAGCCTTCAAATCTCGCAGATCTTGTCTCGCGCGGCGGTGATCAGTTACTAATTTAGCCCTGGGGCCTGTCCCTCGGTATAATGGTCTCTTACTGACCGACTGACTGATATGGGAGATTTAACGTGCGCTTTCCGACTGTAGCGTATTTCGCACACGGATGTTTTCTGAGTGTGGTATTCTCTGTATTTATTACTTGCCCTAGAAGAGATCACCCGTTTAATAAACATACAGCTTTATTACACATTGTGTAAGACCAAAACGCGTGCTTATGTACTCTCGGAACACGTTTCACGAACAAATATTGAAAGCTCTCAACATCCCTTGGCTTATTCAACGATATTGTGTGTGGAGATGATAGATCACTTGGAGGAGCTTATGCACACTCGATGACCCCAGCAACCTAAGCTGGGCCCCGTCTCCAATATCAACAAGGTTGCTGGGTAAGCTGGTTCCCGGCTCCCTATGCAACAAAATTCAACAAATTACGTCATCGGGTATTGTGACGTGATTGTAAACTTTGAGGTGCAAGGCCCCGTTCCACAAGGCGTGGAAGGCCACAAGGCGTACTCTAGCGCAACGACAGTCGTTAGTCTAAGTAAAATTATGTGAGTTGTGATAGCCTTAGCACTACGATAATTTTGTGGGACGAACGCCTGAATTCTAAAGGTGGACCATTGTATAATATTAAATTAATACGTTTCAACTTTTGACGTGTTTGAAGTATTATTCTGTTAAACTCAATTGGATTATGCCATGGATCGTGTAGTTGTCAGCCTATTTACACTCAGCAGTATAATTCTAAAAACATTATATAAATGACAAGTAATAAATAAAATACTAAACTCGCTCTCGTGTAAAACCAATTTTATGAAACTCGTGAGTAGTTGTGGTATCTGACTCGCTTTCGCTCGTCAGATACCAGAACTATTCACTCGTTTCATAAAATTGGTATTACACGGGAGCTCGTTTAGTATTCTATATATATCACACCAAAATGGCTGCAAATAGAGGGGTTTCAGAATTACCCCGTCGTGCCGTGCGCGCCGCCATTTTGGTTGTATTCGCGTCCCTAGCAACGTCATTAGCAGCACACTCAACACACAGCCTCAAACTCCATTGTGTAGCGGAGCTTCTATGACAGCCAAATTGCTAAATCACACCAACCGTCCGGGACATCCTCCCTTCTCTTAAATATAGTACAGTAAACTACGGTTATAACGAACACGTTTATAACGAACTAACGGATATAACGAACTAACTTTTTAGTCCCGACTATATGCTGTAGTTATGCTGTATATATGCTTATAACGAATTTCGGTTATAACGAACTAAAATTAGTAGTCCCTTTGAGTTCGTTATAACCGTAGTTTACTGTATCGTGCTATTAATTTGCATCTAAGAAGGTTTTCCTAATGATTAAAACCCTCACAGACACTGAATGTGAATGCGGAACTAGAAGTGGAACACAAATGGTCAACTTTTCATTTTCGAATTGAAGTGACGGAACAAACAATGAATAAACATGTTTCTACTTATTATATACCTGCGAACCGAATCCGTCACTAACCAGGAGAGGTCATGGCATTTGACTAAGGAGTCTATTTAGACAAATATACTCCCTCATTTGGCACTGACATCTATCGTTGACTTCCTTTCGTCTCACTGTGGTTGACAAACAGGGAAATTCCCTTTTCTCCGTCAATACTCGCACAGTTCCGTCAAAAACTGCGACTCACATTCGTGACCCATTCGTCATCACTCGCATGTTTCCGTAACCTACAAAATGCACGATCGGCCAGTTCCGCTGAGAGAAGATTTCCGCCGATTGGACGATAGACTGGCCGCTTCCTGACCAATCTTAAGTAGCTAAGATCGTTGTTGTCCCTGAATAAACTTGACAAAATGGCGTGCAAGTCTTAGTCTGTTTCACATAAATAATCTGCTTTACGTTCAAACATTGCCTCTTTTTTTTGCTAAACTTTATCATTCGAATCGACACTTTCACAACATGAAGAACGCACCACAGATTTAACGTCAGAAATATCGTTAATTACCATAGTTAAAAACGTAACTATCGAGTCGATAGCTAAATGGAATATTCCCATCCGACTCAATACTGAAAGAAATGTGAAACATACCTTTTCTCTAAACAAGGGAAGGATAAAAACCTAAGTCGTCCAATCTCATTAAAATCAGATCTTAGTTCTCGCTACCGCTAAACAAAGTCCGTGACCTTTTCGATAAATCAAGGGCAGCTAATCTTAAACAAATACAAGCTAAAGAGCAAATCATAAATGTTTAAATCTAAAATCAAATGGGACGGGGACGAGCGGTTAAATATCAGAGTTTAATAGAGAAAAAAACAAGTATTCATCAAACAAGCAAACAACATGATGAAACATTTGATTTTTTTTGCAAAATATCCCATAAATAGCAAAAATAAAATTATAAAAAATGAATACCTAGGGAATATATATAAACAATTGCTTTCTCGAAACATTATTCATTATTCTTATTTCCCGTCTATGCGTTTTTGAAAATTCCCGTCTTTCTGTGTTTTGAAATGGTAGTCATAACATCCTTTGTTGTAGCAACGAAACGAAAACATGAAGGATATATTTAGGATTTTACGAAAAGCTCCCCCACATAGATGACGATCATGCATTCACGCGTTATGGTTTTAGGAATTATTATTATAATGTATTTATTCGTATTTCAATACTTTGAATAAAAACATGAGTAGGTATTTCTCTTGTTGAAATAGAAAACAATTCCTAAATCACGACAGTATTAATGCCGACAGGGATTTTCCATAAAAATATTGGGACCTTTCTTGAAACTGTGCAAAGTGACATGGAGGGAGGTGCGTACGTGTTTGCGTGTCGTTACCGGTTCCACTTATTTTATGCGCAGCAAACTATGCGCGCTTGCAGACAACTGTAGACAGGAGTCGAGTTTAAGATATTCGTACCTCCACCGTTGAAGATCTGGAGACCAACAAGTTATCGGCAATAAAGGAGCTTGTTTCAATCCAGCAACACAGGTGTGAGATGGAGAGAGAGAGGTTGGCATTGGAGAGAGAAAGGTACAGATTGAAAAACGTAGATCAGCTCTGGAGGAGAGAAGATTTGGAAGTTTATCTTTTGATTTTTTTCCTGACACTACTCAATCCCCCTCCAATTGTGTTTCACCAACTATCAAACTTAATTGAAAACTTTCTTTTATCCACATCTTAAATGTGTGTCTAAAAATGTTCAGATGCTTTTTTGTTTCGATGAAACTAACAAAATATGGAATATTACTTAAAATATAAGTTTTAATATCATTCACATTATCCCAAGGGAGATAATCTGAAAAACAAAAGGTATAGCAGTGCAGCATGCAGTTTTGTTATTGTTAATTAGTATTTAGCAGATGTGTAAGTCTGATGTTATTTAAATGAAAACCTATACTATTGTTTGTGGCAACAATTCATGATGTTTAAATAAAATTGGAAAGTAATATGCAACTAGACAATGATGTCATGAAACCAACAATAAAATGTTAACTGAAATAGTGTGAGGAGGGAGAGGGGAGATGACATGATATGATATTTGGAAGGTAGGTACTTACTTTTCTGATAACATACACTTGCATTATACTTGTACTTCTTTCGTTCAAACAAACAACAACTTGTATGTCTTGGAAACAAATTGAATAATGTCATGTTTGTTTTGATTTATTATGATGTCAATGGCTCACATACATAGATGTCATATCAGTTGTATTGTAAGAGTGTTAGACATTACATTAAAACAATAATGCATGGACAGTATTCATATATTAAAATAAAACATCTGTTTAATTATGAAACAAAATTGTATTTGCACAAGTACACACAGTTTGAAATTCAAATGTTTTTATCAGTTGTATTAAACATCCAGAATATACACTTGTTCCTGTCATTATTGTAATGTTCTCAAGAATTGTGAATCAGAGACAGTTCATGAGAAATAATGAGCAATGAGCAACCATCTTGAACATTGCCCTGGTAGAGGACTTGGGCTTCCTGGTCTTCTTCCAGCAGTTGTGGTAATGGCACTTTCTGATCCATGATAACTTGAACGCAGCCATGATCACTTTACAGTTCTTGCTGGTTGAAAATGGGAGGCACCCCATAGATTTGTGAAGACATCTGTTATACATGAAAGAAATATTTTTAACAAAGTTGAAGAAAGGCATGTGAAAATTTAGTTGTGTTTCTGAATTACTTGAAATTAATGTATTTTTGATGAACTGAGCAGAAATTTATACTGAAAATACTACATATGAATCTTCAACTTCATCATCAATAAATTTCAAATTATTGAAACATTTAAATAGCCAAAAGTATACATGAACTTATTCGAATTCACAACTGCTTATTAAATTCAATTTATGAATATTTTTGCAACCTGAACCTTGACTTTAGAACTCCAAATGCTCTCTCAATGGTGTTTCTTGTTCTGCAGTGTGAAGAGTTGTAACGCTCTTCATGTCTTGTTTTTGGGTACAGTACAGGTGTTAGGAGCCATGGTCTGCATCCATAACTGTAACATTATCCAAACATATTACTCACATTGTGGATAAGGTGACCTAGGCCAAAACTACTTTTCACAATCACTGCTTCAATCAACTTAAGATATTGTGATGTATGTTAAAGGTTTTTTTAAGTTCAGTAAAACTCATTTGAATAACACATTTAAAAAAAATATATTTAAAAATTCAATTGTATAATATACCAAAAATATTATTGCAAATATTTACCCAGAGTCTCCAAGAAGAAATCCATCAGGGCAATTCCTATTAAACTGGTCTCCAATGGAGCTGTTTGTTAGAATTGATGCATCATGGGCTGAGCCTGGCCATTTTGTAACAACATTAGTAAATCTTAAAATAGTAAGAACAAAGCCCAGATGACAATTTTTCAACATACAGACATTATGAAGGGTTTATACTATAGACAAGAAGTTACATCCTTTTTATATTAATGTGATGTGTAACATTGCCACACTGATTTGAATCATATGACTAGTGGTTATTATAAATAACTGTTTTACACAACAAAGTAAGACTTTTACATGTGTGATATCCTTAAGTAACCCCAAACGTACCCCACTAAATAATTGCTTATTGCCTATTGGCTTATAGATATCATGGGCGTGTCTACTGAGAGGTACAATGCCAAGGTCGTATCTAATGTAAACAGGAAGTAAATTAGTAGAAATAGGCTCAGACTTGATCGCCACATTTGTCTTTATTCTGATACATTTGCGTGTTCTTTTTATTCTCTGGCATGGGGGAGGGGGCACTGCATAAATTACCTCAAGTTTGCATCGCAAATGGCTTGCACATTAATGGCATGGAAGCTCTTTCGGCACACGTATGCTGCTTCCTCATCGGCAGGGGGCCTCCTGATCGGCACAAGTGTCCCGTCTATGGCTCCGAAGACACGGGGGAATCCGGCAAGTCGATAAAAATCGTGCTTCACATTACGTAAATTGTCAAGATCAAAACAGATATTATTGATAGAGTTGCAAATGGCGTCTACAGTCGGGTGAAACACCCGGGACACACTTGACTTCACAGTCCCGTGAAGGTCGCCCAACTCAACGAAAAAACCACCCTTGCTTAAATATCTCAAAGTCAGGAGTAACTTCGTTTCTGGGGAGAGGGAATGTGAACGCTGGGTTGCTGGTGTAATGGACGGAGAGACTGCTTCGAGCAGTTTCAAGAGGGCGTGGCGTGGCATACGATATCGCGCTTACAGTTCATCGTCAGATAACGTATCCAGCTGGCGGGTGCGGTCTCTAAAAACCCTTTCTTTGTGTAAGACACGGTCCATTTCCTTGCACATCATAATAAAAGTCGCCATTTTTGTTGTTATGGTACAATATTAAGATCGATTTTAGCGATCCTAAGTTGGTCCGGAGCAACTTAGCATTTTGATCTTAACTTACAACTCTCTTAGTTAAGATTGCTTTGTGGAACGGGCGGCCGATCGTAACAAAAATTTAAGATCGCGTACTTAGTGAGTTACAATCAACTTAGCCCTAAGATCGCTTTGTGGAACGGGCCCCTGAACTGGGATAAACACTATAGAGAATTATATCTGTCACATGCAACTATGTGTTTAATTGACAAACATTTAATAAGAGCTAAATCATCTGCATTTCTTGTGTGTTTTTTTATTTTTACTCATTTCTGCAAAGTGCGCCAATGGCAGTGCTACTGACTCGATTTGCAGCTAAATATAGCAGTGTATAAAAGTGGTAATGTGGAACTAAAGCGGAATACAATTTCTTCTTTTTATACAGTTCGCTAATAAAAAAATGCGATTCCTATAAAATGGTCGTGTTGCTTATTATCTGTAATTACTACCCATTGCCATGTTTAATTTCTAAACATGACATCACTCCCAAATGTATTATTTGATTGTCTATCATATCATAACCTTCGTGAGGTGGTGACATGTTTAATAATAGAGTAAAGTTTCTGTTAGATAGCTAGCTATCTTGGCCACTTCTGAACACAGTGTTTTCCTATGAAATAGCAAAAGCCAAATGGAAATAATTTGTTTCTCTAATTTATATATTTTAAAGATGTTATGCCACTCATTGGTGGAGATGTAAGTGTAATAATATAAGTTTCCTAAGATGTTTGTGTTATGCTATTTTTCAAGATTATTTTAATTATTCTTCTCATACACAGAAACACAGGGGGGAAATATCTTGGAGTATACACTCATGACATTGTACAATAGGCGATGATGTTCACACTATATATGTAGGAGGGTATGTACAGTAATATAATTATACTATTATTTTGAATATTACTGAGTGTCATTTAAACATCAAACAGAGAATATGATACACAACAGAGTTAAAGGGGGTACAATTACATTTGTACTATTCAAGGGATTTCTAAGCCCCAATACCTCACAGCCCTCTGGCAACTGATGCGTGTATTTTTGTCCCAAAGTATTTTTTTGTAAATATTATCATCACTATGATGCAAGAATTTTGTGGTAACAGTTATTCAAAATCACTCCATTTGATTATTGTGTACATGATGATAAAAGCAACTATGTTTTTATTAATGTTTGAGGTGCATGTAACTGTTTCAAGGCATAGCAGATGCGGAATGTGTGAGAGTTAACTGTGAAACTCATTGAACCATTCTTGGTAGCTTTTTGACATGTATACATTGCCAGCAAAATGTCCTCATATATATGGAGAGACCATTAAATATTTGGAATCTAAATAATATCATTTAATATGCTTGAAATAACTAGAAAGGCTTCAAAATTACCAACTTAAGACAAATAACATATATTTCATAAACCCATTACTAATAGAGAATTGAACTTGTTATCTCAAGCTCTGTCATCATTGACATTAAAATTTGCAAGACAAAGCAACAGTAAGAGTTATCCTCCCTTCACAACTTGATCAAAATGGTCGTCTGGTCCTTGCAGTTGAAGGCCAAGTGGCTGAAGCTTTTAAAGCGAGAACGTCAAGGTAAGTGATTATACCTTTACTTTTTACTTTTATTCTGTGGTTTCTATCAAGGCAGGTACAGACCTAGCACAATGTCATACATTATGCAGTCAGTCCATCCATGATGATCAGTTAGCTTATTACAGCTGTGAAGGGGACGAAGCATTTGTTAAAGCTATGTAGTTTCATATGCAAAGCTTATTGTCAAAGTACATGTTTCTCAAAGGTTGGAAATGTGAATGACAATCATCAGAAAACAAAACTCTCAAGATTCCTTTCATTCTTGAAAGTACTACATTTATGCCACTTCTGGTCGAGGTGATGTGAGTAATAATATAGTCAACAATGTCTTAAAATTAGAAATATTGACTCATTGCATTCAGATTCTGCTCACAAGTTTGAAATGAGATTTACTATCAGCAGCCAAAAGAAAATCTTAAGATTCCATAAACTGTAGATTTTACAGGCGTTATCCCACTTTTGGCCGAGGCGATTGAGTAATAATATAGTAAAAAATCTTGTAAAATTAGAAATATTGACCCATAGCATTTAGATCTCTGCTCACAGGTTTGAAATGTTATTTATTATCATCAGCCAAGAAGAAATCTTAAGATTCCATAAAGTGTAGATTTTATGGGTGATATCCCATTTCTGGTCAAGGTGATATGAATAGTAATATAGTCAAAATTCTCTTGAAATTAGAAATATTGACCCATAGTATTCAGATTCTGCTCACAAGTTTGAAATGTTATTTATTATCAGCAGCCAAAAGAAAATCTTAAGATTCCATTAATTGTAGAATTTAAAGGCATTATCCCACTTCTGGTCAAGGCGATATGAGTGGTAATATCGTAAAAAATCTCTTAAAATTATAAATATTGACCCATAGCATTCAGATTCTGCTCACAGGTTTGAAATGTTATTTACTATCATCATCCTTTTAAGAGATTTTTTACGATATTATCACTCGTCACCTTGAACATAAGTGGGATAATGCCTTTAAAATCTACAATTAATGGAATCTTAAGATTTTCTTTTGGCTGCTGATAATAAATAACATTTCAAACTTGTGATTTTTTTTACGATATTATCACTAATATCACCTAGACCGAGAAGTCGGATAATGCCTTTAAAATCTACAATTAATGGAATCTTAAGATTTCTTCTTTGCTACTGATAGTAAATAACAATACAAACTTGTAAGCAGAATCTGAATGCAATGGGTCAATACTGTTAATTTTAAGAGATTTTTTACTATATTATTACAAATATCACCTAGACCGAGAAGTGGGATAATGCCTTTAAAATCTACAATTAATGGAATCTTAAGATTTCTTCTTTGCTACTGATAGTAAATAACAATACAAACTTGTAAGCAGAATCTGAATGCAATGGGTCAATACTGTTAATTTTAAGAGATTTTTTACTATATTATTACTAATATCACCTAGACCGAGGAGTGGGATAATGCCTTTAAAATCTACAATTAATGGAATCTTAAGATTTCTTCTTTGCTACTGATAGTAAATAACAATACAAACTTACGAGCAGAATCTGAATGCTATGGGTCAATTTTAAGAGATTTTCTTACTTTAATATCACCCATGTTCTTTGACCAGAAATGGGATAAGGCCTATAAAATCTACAATTAATAGAATCTTAAAATTTCTTCTTGGCTGATGATAATAAATAACATTTACTATATTATCACTCATGTCCCCTTGACCAGAAATGGGAAAGCCCTTTCACATGTTCAGTTAATGGAATTCTTTTAGCTGTTGACAACACAACTTATGAGCATATATTGAGGGGTCATAGTCCAAGATTGGTATTGATTTGTATTAATTATTGATTATATATTTACCTTTGTATTACCGTAATCAAACTGTGCAGAAGCGGCATAACACCTTGAAGATCTATCAACTGTTGAATATTTATTATTAATTTTAGCTTTTGATAGTGATTAGGACTACAGACTTAGCAAATATTGAGACAGGTCATGATTGGTACACTTATAGCGATTTTTATACCAGTTTGTGTGTCACACAAGGAGTGTCAGAATTCAGAAATTCTCGTATTTACCGAGGGAGTGTGAGGGTAATACATGGATTCTTACATGTGTTTTCTAAAACAGAATATGTACCGTGTACAGTTCTTTTATCAACTTCATGCCAATCGCCAAGCATGGGTACTATCTTTTCCCGTTTATTTTAACTTCCGCTCTCAGGGGTGCGATGGGTTAGTGTAGTGGTCAAAGAGTTCTCTCGTCACATTGAAGGCCCGGGCTCGATTCCCATCATGTGTTCAGTGTGTAACTTCTATTTCTGATGTTCCGCGCCATGATATTCCTGGAATGCTGCTAAAAGCAGTGTAAATACATGTTCAACTACTTACTCCTTGACCCGTGAAGATCCGGGGTAGAATAGATCTTCACCAACCCATGCTTGCCGTAAAAGGCGACTATGCTTGCCGTAAAAGGCGACTTACGGGATCGGGTGGTCAGACTCGCTGACTTGGTTGATACATGTCATCGTATCTCAGTTGCGTGGATCGATGCTCATGATGTCAATCACTGGATTATCTGGTCAAGACTCGATTATTTACAGACCGCCGTCATATAGCTTGAATATTGCTGAGTGCGGCGTTAAACAACAAACAAACAAACTTACTCCTTCTGCAGATGTCTATCCACTATAGGCCACTGAGGCAGTTGATCCGTGTAGAAGGGGTCCCCCAGCAACACATGCTTAGTTGTCTTACTAGGTGACTTAATGGATCGGAGGTTCAACGTCCTCCGACATGCTGAATGTTTGCTTATAATATCAATGACTATTTTGCTCTCTGCCCATGTGGACCAACATTTTACTGCAAGTACCAGTAACATCAAAGATGAGCATGCAGGTAATATTCCCTTGATCTTATGGGAAATCCAGCTTAGAATCGTGTCAGAGAGGCAGCTAAAGAGCCTCGGGGGGTCAGTTTCGTTTTTCGGTTGATTGCGAGTCATTGTACATGTCAGCGTGGGACGTTGTTCATACTTAAACCACTAGTTTGTCTGGCCCAGTCTCGATTACATGTATTTATATCGGGTCACATGACACACAATCAACGAAGTCACTATAAAAGCATGACCACCCAGTCCATCGATTGTCGCCTCCCACGACAAGCGTAGTTGTGGGTATATTTTAAGCCATGTCCAACATAGACATACACACTGCACTGTCCATGGATCATCGTGATTTTAGGCTAAATATATTATTTCGACTTGCTTCAATATATCTTTCCTGTCATTTGGAGATCTTCCAAACTAGACGACCTGCAATTTCACATTGAAGCTGTCTGGTTCCTAAAACACTGAAGTAACTGAACTCACTTCTGGTTTACTGGTGCATGCATGTATGAGCAGTCATATCCTTCTTACCGCTTATATCTGTTCGTTTTATTTTTGCACACCAAACTTCTGAGCTTGCATTACCCGTATCATGTATATGTGATAGGGTTAAGTTTAGGAGGTATTTGAGGATACCAGTTACTCGTATATGTGGATAGATTGCCACTCTGAAACAAT